AATAATTGGACGTTTTTGGTGGGGTAAATTCCCAGGACTGGATGAGTTGTATTCCAGGTTGCTGTGAGAGATGAGGGAAGGATATCACAGAAGCCCAAAACCAAATTTTTAATTCCTCTCTGGCCACAGGGGACATGCTAGAGGACTGGAGGACAGCTAATGTGGTTCCATTTTTCAAGAAGGTTTGTAAAGATAAACTAGGGAATTACAGGCCATGCGTTTCACATAGTGGTAGGAAAGCTATTGGTGAAAATTCTAAAAGGTAGAATTAATCTTCATTTAGAGAGGCAAGGATAACTTTGTCAGAGGAAGGTCAGACCTAACAGATCTGGTTGAATTTTTAAAGGAGGTGAGCAAGCCTGTAGGTGAGGGTAGTGCAGTTGATGTTTATAAGAATATCAGCAAGGTCTTTAACAAGGTCTTCCTGATAAAGAAGGTAAAATCACATGGAATCAAGGTTAACAATGCAAGTTGGATCCAAAATTGACTTAGTCGCAGGAGAAGATGGTGGTAAATGAAAGGCCTTATCAGACCACAGTTTCTCTCTCATTTGACAGAGAAATAACTAGTAGTGGTTTAACCTGAGGGTCACTATCCCTCAGGCGAGGGGTGAGGTTGAGAAGGAGAATCCTTCATGGTAACCTCAGCCGGTGCGGGGATTGAACCCACACTGTAAGCATCACAAACAAGCCATCCAGTCAACTTAGCTAACCGACCTGCTGTTTGTGTGCCTGCAGGCCAGTATCCAGTGGCGTCCCACAGGGTAAAGTGTTGGGTCCCTGATTGTTTGTGATATATATAAATGATATAGATGAGAATGTGTGGAGGATGATAAATAAGTTTGCAGATGACATGAAGATTGACTGGATGGTTGACAGTTAGGAAGGTCCTTAGGTTATGGGAGGATATAAATGGATTGGTCAGATGGGCAAATCAGTGACAGATGGAATTCAACCCTCAGCAGTTTGAGATGATGCACTTTGAAAGAATTAACAAGGCAAGGGAGTACTCAATGAACAGTGAGACACTAGGAAGCACAGAGAGACAGAGGAATATTGGGTGCTTGTCCACAAATCCCAGAATACAGCAGGACAGGTTGATAGGGTAGTTAAGAAGGCATATGGGACACTTGCCTTTACCATTTGAGGCATAGGTTATAAGGTTATGTGGGAGCTGTACAGAACTTTGATTAGTTGGAGTTCTGTGTGCAGTTCTGATCAACACATTATAGAAAGAATGTGATTGCACTGGAGGAGGTGCAGAGAAGATTCACCAAAATGTTACCTGGTGTGTGAAGCAGTTTAGCTATGAAGAGAGGCTGGATAAACTTCTTTATTTCTGAAGAAGGGTCTTGACCCGAAACGTTAGCTTTCCTGCTGCTCTGATGCTGCCTGACCTGCTGTGTTCCTCCAGCTCCACACTGTGTTATCTATGGATGAACTTGTGTTGTTTTCTTTGGAGCAGAGAAGGTTGAGGAGAGACCTGATTGAGGTGTATAAGATTATGGAGGGCAAGGATAGGCTGGATAGAAAGCAGCTGTTCCCCTTTGTTGAAGGGTCAATAACAAGGGGCACACTTTTGAAGTGAAAGGCAAGAGGTTTAGAAGGGAGTTGAAGAAACTTTATTTCACCAGAAGGTAGTAGGGATCTGGAATGCCCTTTTTGGAAGGGAGCTGAGGCAAATTATCTCACAAACATCAAAAAGTAGTTGGACAAGCCCTTGATATGACATTACATTCAAGATTATGGGCTAAGTACTGGAAAGTGGGGCTAGTGTCGATATAGCATAGTTTTTCATGGTATAGATTTGATGAGCTGAAGGGCCTCTTCTCTACTATGTAATTCTATCTGTTGCCTTTGTCCATCTAGATAGCAGTAGTCATAGTTTATAAGGTGCTGCATGTGAAGCCTTGGTGATGTTTGCACTGCTGCTTCTGAGCGTCAGTTCTGGAGGGAGTAAATGTTTGTGAATCCAGTAGCAGTCATGCAGGCTGCTTTGTCTTGGATTGTATCAAGCTTCTAAGTTTCATTGGAAATGCACTCGTCTAGTCAATTTAGGGAGTATGCCATCACACTGCTGACTTGTGCCTTGCAGTTGGTGAACAGGTTTATTGGTGTAAGGAAGATTCCTAGCCTTTGACCTGCTCTTGTAGCCGTTGTATTTATATGACTAGTCCAGTTTAATTTCTGGTCAATGGTAGCCTCCAAGATGTTGATAGTGGATGATTCGTTGATGGTTATGCCACTGAATGTCAAGGGCCGATGATTAGCTTCTCACTTGTTGGAGATGGTCTTTGCCTGACACTTGTGTGGCATGAATGTTACCTGATATTGTCCAGGTCTTGCTGCATTTGGACATGGACTGCTTCAGTATCAGAGTTGTGGATGGTGCTGAGCATTGTGCAAACATGAGTGAACATCCCCACTTCTGATCTTATGATGGAGGAAGGTCATTGATGAAACAACTGAAGATGTTTGGGCCTCGGACACTACCCTGAGGAACTCTTGCAGAGATGTCCTGGAGCTGAGATGACTGACCTCCAACAACTTCAACTATCTTCCTTTGTGTCAGATATGATTTCAGGGAGAGTTTTCCTCCTGATTCAGATTAACTCCAATTTTTCTCAAGCTCCTTGATGTTTAATTTTCCACCACCATGTTACTGGACTGCAGAGCATTGATCTGATTCACTGATTGTGAAATTGCTTAGGTATGTCTATCACTTGCTGCTTATGTTGCTTGACATGCAAGAATTCCTGTTTTGTACCTTCACCAGATTGAGACCTTATCTTTAGGTCTGCCTGTTGCTGTTCCTGGCATATCCTTCTGCATTCTTCATTGAGTCAGGATTGATCCCCTGACTTGATGGTAGTGGTAGAGTTGAGGATATACTAGGCCATGAGGTTACAGTTATATTGGAGTAAAATTTTGGTGCTACTGATGGCCTGCATGGATGCCCAGTCTTGAATATCTAGATCTGTTCAAAGTGTATCCCATTTAGAACGGTGATAGTGCCATACAACATGATGGAGGATATTCTCAATGTGAAAGTGGGACCTTGTCTCCACAAGGAGGCAGGCATGTTGGTGAGGATGAGGTCAAGTGTGATATTCCCTCTTTTTGGCTCTTTTACTACCTGCTGCAGACCCAGGCTTGCAGCAAAATCCTTTCGGACCCAACAAGCTCAGTCAGTCATGGTGCTGCTGAGCCACTCTTGGTGATGGACATTGAAGTCCTCCTCCCTGAATGCATTCTGTGCCCTTGCCATCCTCAGTGCTTTCTCGAAGTCGTATTCAACCTACAGGAGTACTGATTCATCAGCCGGAGATTGAGAAGTGTGCATGTTGTATGGTAATCAGCAGGAGGTTTCCCTGACCATGTTTGATCTGATACCATGCAGTCCAGAGTTATAGAAACATAGAAGATAGGAACTTTCCTGATCTGCTGACTTCCTCCAGTACCCACTAGATAGACAACATTACACATGCTGCCTTTCGTGTCCCACGTTTGCGCTGGAGAGCTGGCAGCTAGGCATCGGAGAGGGATCAGTCCACGGGGTCTGATGGGAGTTGTAGTTCTGACAAGGCAAATAGTGGCTAACAGCCGGGAGTTCTAATGTGAGCATGCGGAAGGCCCCAAGTGGCTGTCACGTGATGTGGCTGGAATTGGAGGAGTGCCTCTGTAAATACCGAGCCCGGGAGGGTCGGGGCAGGGCCAGGTTTATAGATCAATAAACCCATCCATCATCACCCACCACCCACCCAAACCCCTCAATCTCCACCCCCTCAATCCACACCATTCCTCCACCCACCCCCTCAATCCACTCACACCCTCAATGCACACCATCCTCCACCCACCCCCTCAATCCACCCACACCCTCTATCCACCCACACCCTCAATCCACACCATCCTCCACCCACACCATCCTCCACCCACACCCTCAATCCACCCACACCCTCAATCCACACCATCCTCCACCCTTCCTGCACCCACACCCTCCCTCCATCCACACTGACAATCCAGACCTTCCCTCCACCCACACCATCAATCCAGACCCTCCCTCCACCCTTCCTGCATCCACACCCTCCCTCCACCCACTCCTCAATCCACCCACACCCTCAATCCACACCCTCCCTCCACCCACTCCTCAATCCATCCACCCCCTCAATCCACCCACACCCTCAATCCACAGCCTTCCTGCATGCACACCCTCAATCCACACCCATCCTGTACCCACACCCTCAATTCTCACCCTCCCTCCACCCACACCCTGAATCCACACCCTTCCTGCACCCACCACCTTCCTGCGCCGACATGCAATATTGAGTACTCCTAGGGCGGCTCCCACCTGACTGTATACCACTCTGCTGCCAACTTTGCTGGGTCTGTTCTGCTGTGGGACAGGACTTACCCAGGGACTGTGATGGTGTTATCTAGGTCTTTGAATGTAAGGTATAATTCTGAAGGCATGACTATGTCAGGTTGTTGTTTGACTAGGCTCTCCCAATTTTGGCACTCATCCTCAAATGTGAAGATGATATTGCAGGGTCAGCAAGGATGAATGTACCATTATTGTTTTTGGTGCCTTAATTGATGCCATATGGTCTGTCTGGTCTCTTTCCACTTTTCTATTCTAGCAGTTGATTCAACGAAATGGCTTGTTCAGCAATTTCAGAGGGCAGCTAAGAGTCAACCACATTGCTCTGGTTCTGGAGTCACATGTAGTCCATACCATGTAACTACATCAGTTTCCTACACGAAAGGACCTTAGAGAATCAGATGGATTTTTATGACAATCAATCATAGTTTCATTGTCATCAGTGAATATTTAATGCTAATTTTTAATTGGATTCAGATTCCACCATCCATAATAGTGGGATTTGAACCCACGCCCTCAGAACATATTGTGATGGATTCTATGGTAGTATAACTTATACACAGGTGTTGCCTGTGTTACCATGATAGTGGTACGTCATTTACATAGTGTACTCTTCCTTACAGAATGATCGGTTACCTGAAACTTGCCTGAGTCATTTTCATTCCAAGTTAGGTTGGGAGATAAGGAGTGATTGCAGAATGAGCCTTGTTTCAGCAATATGGTGCCTTTTTGTATTTGGCTTTCAGCTCTGTCTAGGTGAGTGACTGTATTTATATGTCATAGGATTGGTAACACATATTAAAAAATGTTACTAAAGTGCCTGCATAACTTAAGAATAATATTGTTAGATTAAACTTTTAATGATTGGTCAGCATAATAAATAAACATATCAATATGTTTTCTGTACTGGACCCTGTTGTATCTGAATCTTAAAGGAGTGCCATAAGCTCCACCCCCAGTGATGATGTCTATGGACTTGTAGGCAGTACAAAGGAGTGAGACCAAACACCTGGTTCTAAAGTCTATGTAGCAATGTCAGATATATCAATGTAATCCATGCCTTGTGGCTAACGTGCACTAAACTGCTTCTTGTTCATTACAAGACATCTTCTACTTAGAACAGTAACTGATCTTCCTCTACCACACTATATCAAGTAGGCCCTGTAGATCCCTTCACATGAAGAGGATGATGGCCTGTCACATGGTGTTATGGTCCCAACTGATAGTACTACTGGTCAAGTCAGTCCCAGAATGAAACCTGGCCTGATAGATCGTCTGTTTATTTTCTTTTGTTATTTAATGTAGTGATTAGTCACGAAAACATATTCATAAAGGTTGCACATATTCTCTAGAATATGATCTTAACACAAACAACAAAGTTTCAACCTGTTTCCTAACATCATCCATTACAGAGACTAAAGTCCAGAGAAATTATATCACTATCTCAACTCTTTAGTATCTGACTCTTTCAGTTCTTCTCCAAGGTCTGTGGAGAAATCTTTGTAAGTCCTTTCCAAGTCTGCTGACATGAACACTTCACAAACCCGAGAGCCTAATCTTTCCCAGTTCAAATAACTTGCAGCTTTCTGTCAAACCTCTCCTGGAAGCTTCTTGAACTACATTCTCTGTTGGAGTGACTGGCTTTGCTTGAGCTGAACTGAAAACTTCTACTAGGAGAGAAACTAGAGCTTGTTTCTGAATTCAACTCAGGTGTTGAATCAACTGAAGTCAAAAATTTGTTTCTGAACTCAATTCCTGATTCTTCTGAACCGAATTGAAAACAAAACTAATGGCCTTAATGTGTTAACCCTGTCTGTCATAAACTCAAAAGTATAAACATCTTTCCATTAACACCACAGGGGTTTGCAGTTGCATGCTTTCTAAGCAATACTAGATTTAAGTCACTGTTCCATAATGATTGCTGACCTGTTAAAAAGTCTTCACAGCAGTAATCAAACTCCACCTGCCTTTCTTTTTAAAGCAATCCAAATTCCAAAAATAATATTGATACATTACATCATCACAATGGTGAGGTGCAGGCCAGTTTAGCTGCAAATACAACAAACATCACCAATAATGAAGTGAATCATTACTTTTGCCTGCCCCCAAAACAGTTTGTGAAACACTTCATGAATACAGTATCCTTGTAAGGGCCACAGTATACCAAAAAGACTTAAACATTTCGTGCATAGTCCTGCCCATTCTATGCTCAACCATCCACCACCAAATTCCAGCTGAGCATATGTAGCAGTGCTCACTATAGCCAAAATCTCCTTTCCAGTTCATCTTGTGAAGCTAAGTTGGATGTAGAGGGGGCAAGCGGCATAACTCCCAAATTACTCCCTATTCAGCAAACTACGGTAAGATCAAAATTCTAATTTTCTACAAAGTACACAGTTCACACGTATTGGGGCATTCCCCCATCCCAGTAGGAAAAGGGACCTGACAGATAACAATAACCCATAACGTGGGGCTAAAGATGTGTTAGCCTCAGTCAAAAAGCAAAAGAACTATTTTGTGCTTTTGATATCCCATGTAAGGTTCCATCCAGCAGAGAATTCCCACCTGCAGTTTTCTAATTTCCTGTATCCTCACTGCTTTGCCATCAAGACTCATCACACTATCTTTGATTTTATTCTCTTTAACTCCTTTACTCCCACAGTGTTGGATCTCCTGAACTTCCCAACTTCCTCAGTTTTCTGGTTTGGGAAGTGGAGGTTGCAGCTTCCTGCCGCTTCATGCTAAATTTGTTGATTCTTTGCTTTGGTACATTGTTGTTTGGGTACCTCAGTCAAATACCCAATATCGGGTTATTGCGCCAAAGGAGGCAACACAACCAAGCCTGATCCTTTCCTCACACAACCACCCCTGCAGGTATTTTCTAACGGGCATATTGGGATAGTGACTAAGAATCACTCATTTGTGGCACGATCCAGCACAGAAATAGATCTTTCAGCCCATCAAGTCCATAGTGATGTTATCCTCCGTATGAGCCAAATCTCCTGCTCATTAACATTCCCTTCAAGATCCCACCTGTCTATTTCCATTCTCTGGCTCACTCCCTTTACCCTCACTCTGCTCACTTGACTTCATATCAAAGTAAATTTAAAAACAGCGGCCTGAACATTTGCCCTGACCGGGGCCTGCTAACGTATTGCTGAATGAATTGAAGTGTACCTACTAAATAAGAATCATGACAAGAAGATCTGGAAACCAAATTGTACTCCTGCTGTGCTTCCACTTGTTGACAAAATGTGACTGTCTAGTTTGTGTTGCCCTTTGTTCCACACCCACCCTGTCACGTCATTTGACATAAGTTAGCATTCTTGTTGATTTTTAACTTTTGAAATCAAATGAGGATAATATGTGACTGACACATGGTTACTAATTTATAGCCAGCGATGATGATCAGCCGAAGCTTCTTGAGTGTTACAGTGACTATCTCAAGGAAATTATCTGCACCTGGAATGTAGGCCCCAACACAAACTGTTCCACTGATTACAGTCTGCAGTGCAAGTTGATGTCCGGTTTTGATGAAATATGCAAGTAAGTAATAGTATTTTTATCTGCTCGTCACTGAACAATGTTATTCCAGTGAAAATGAAAGAAGACAGAGGAACAAGAATTGACAAGCAAAAATAAGATGAAAGGAATCCAATATGGAAGGATAGTACCCCAGATATATGAGGGAATAGACTAGATGCTGAAGCTTTGATAACAACTTATGGAGTGCATGTTACTGAGTAATATGTAAGACCTAGCTCATTGAATATAATATCCATATCCCATTAGCCTCTCTCACAAATCAATCACCAAAAGCATTTTCAAACCGCTAAAGGATTAGCCTGACTACATATGATTGGAAGTAGAGCTAATTCTCTGAGCCTAGCAACAGTAAGATCTAGAATCAAAACCGATTGAAGAAGTCAAATCAATGCCTCTTTCTTTATATTTTTCAGCATAACGGATATTAAAACTCTTCCCAAATCAACCTGTCAATGCAGGATCACAAAACCAACTTTGGTATTTTTTGCCAATTATGAAATTACGGTCCTTTTCAAAGGAATAGTGGTCCTTTCCAAACACATTAGACCATCACAAACCAGTAAGTAGATTCCTGGGCCACTGTTTCTTGGCAATAGCTTTAAACAAATGTTTGATGTGTAAATATCTACTCTGTTAGTGAGATTTGTTACTCCATTTGTTTCTCCCCATTTCCATCTCCTTCCATATTTGTTCTGCTCAGGGCATTACCTCCTTTAGTGGGATTCAGTTCCTTGTTAGGGTGCAGTTCTAGACATCTTCCAATAAGTCACTATGCTGGTGTCACCTCATCAATTTAGTATGAGGAGATGCTTCAGAACTGCTATCTTCACTTGATGATCAAATATAATTTAAACTGCCATTAAGCGGTCAATGAAAGCTAAACAAATACACCACATTAGCTGACCTTCCTTTCTAAATCCAGGGGACTAAGACCAGCTGAGATATCAGGGTTTGGCATCTCTGGGATTGTGTGGGTGGACGGATTAGGTTATTAAAGAAAATTATATGAGAAGACTGGAATAATAAATAGAGTCCTTAGTTTAAATTCCCACACTAGCTGAGGTTATCATGAAGAACTCTCCTTCTCAACCTTTCCCTTCGCCTGAGGTGTGGTAACGCTCAGGCTAAACCACCACCAGCTGCCTCTCTCCAATGAGAGAGCAGCCCTATGGTCTGGTAAGTCTATGGTGACTTTACCATTAAAATGAGGTGAGGTAATGGCCTTGGTATTATCACTAGACTATGAATCCAGAGACCAGGGTTCAAATCCTGCAGATGGTGAAATTTGAAATCAATGAAAATCTGGAATTACGAGTGTAATGATGATCGTGAAACCACTGTCAGGAGAAAAACCCGTCTGGTTCACTAATGTCTTTCAGTGAAGGAAATTACTGTCCTTATCTGGTCTGGCCTACACATAACTCCAGACTCACAGCATGTTGGTGACTCCTAACTGTCCTCTGGGCCATTAGGGGTGGGCAATAAATGTTGGTCCAGCCACTATCCCATGAATTAATTAAAAACAAAGTCCTTCAGAGTCAATGGGCAGAATCAATGTTTGTTGTAGATGTTGGATAAAATGATGTTTTCTCTTTCCAAGCTTTTCTTGTGTAAAGTTGACATTTCCTAAACAACAGAATCATTTCTTCCAGTAAAACCTTTGGCTCCACACAACCTCATGGTAAACATTTCAGCAGACAAACAGCATTTCCTAGTCTGGGATGATGATTACAACAACACATTCATCGAAAAGAATCTGGAGTATCAAATCGCTTACATGAAGACAGGAGGAAACTGGAAGGTTTGCACTCCAAATTTAGACTTCCCTCCTCTTGAACTATTTTACGTTTGTTCACTGATCCTTATAATCAAATTTCTTAAATGTTTACAATTTAACCGCTTTCTAAATCCTTCATGTAACTGAAGAGCTTTGAACTCAGTATTAAGATATTACCTCTCCTGTGAACAATTTGCGAAACTTTCATGAGAACAAATAGAAGTCAACAGACAATTTGCTTGCTTTAAACCCTTGCTCAATTGAAAGCTTCATGCATAATGTTTAATTAGCAGCTAAATTTAAGTTTCAGGCATATGCATGGTGTATGCCATTTAGAAACAATATTTTAGCCAGGCTTGTCCCAGTAGGTAGTCCATCTTTAGCAATCAGTGAGATGTAGATTACACAGCCAATCTACCTTGTAAGATTTATATTCAACTCTTTGTGTCTGCTCCAGTTTTTTATGGATAATGTCTTATTTTTAGTAATTAAGGCTGCATTGGTAGTTAGTAAATCTTTTGAAAGCCTCGAGTGTTTGAGGTTTATTTTCATGAAGATCCTCCCATTTACGATTGCAGAGATTCTGTTCAATCAAAGTTGACCCTATTTTCCACCCTCAGCCCATGGTTATCTTGAGGGATTAAGACCTCCAATGTTGTAGGATATAAATGGATGCAGGATATAACAGCCTGGAGTAAATGGGATGCAGGAGGGATTGTTGTTCAGTCTGTGGGCTCTCTCAAATTGCTGATATAGGTAAGGAAAGTTTTGAACCCATAAAACATACCAAAGGATGGATGTCTTCCCTGCTGCTTTTTTATATTTTGAAACTCAAATAAAGAATAAGAGTCCAACATTTGGTTTACCAGAAAAGTTAGAAAGGTTAAAGGAGTAATTCTGTGATCCAAGGAGGAGGGTATGCATTCTGAGCACTACCTGATACGTAACATGTAATCGTTAGTGGAATGTATCCTGGTGATCACATTGACTAGAGGTGAGATAAAAGTGACTGCCTTTGACATCGAGGCTACATTTGATCCAAAATGATATCAAGAAGCTCTAGCAAAACTGGAATCATTGGGAATTGGGGAAAATTCTGCACTGATGAGAGTCAAACCTGGCACAAAGATGGTATCAGAGATAGTAGGAACTGCAGATGCTGGAGAATCTGAGATAACAAGGTGTAGAGCTGGATGAACACAGCAGGCCAAGCAGCATCATAGGAGCAGGAAGGCTGACGTTTCGGGCCGAGACCCTTCATCAGAAAAGGGGGAGGGGAAGGGGGTTCTGAAATAAACAGGGAGAGAGGGGGAGGCGGATAGAAGATGGATAGAGGAGAAGATAGGTGGAGAGGAAACAGACAGGTCAAAGAGGCAGGGATGGAGCCAGTAAAGGTGAGTGTAGGTGAGGAGTTAGGGAGAGGATAGGTCAGTCCAGGGAGGACGGACAGGTCAAGGGGGCGGGATGAGGTTAGTAGGTAGGAGATGGGGGTGTGGCTTGAGGTGGGAGGAGGGGATAGGTGGGAGGAAGAACAGTTTAGGGAGGCAGGGACGAGCTGGACTGGTTTTGGGATGCGGTAGGGGGAGGGGAGATTTTGAAGCTTGTGAAATCCACTTTGATACCATTGGGCTGCAGGGTTCCCAAGCGGAATATGAGTTGCTGTTCCTGCAACCTTCGGGTGGCATCATTGTGGCACTGCAGGAGGCCCAGGATGGACATGTCGTCTGAGGAATGGGAGGGGAAGTTGAAATGGTTCGCGACTGGGAGGTGCAGTTGTTTATTGCGAACCAAGCGTAGGTGTTCTGCAAAGCGGTCCCTGAGCCTCCACTTGGTTTCCTCGATGTAGAAGAGGCCACAACGGGTACAGCGGATGCAGTATACCACATTAGCAGATGTGCAAGTGAACATCTGCTTGATATGGAAAGTCTTCTTAGGGCCTGGGATGGGGGTGAGGGAGGAGGTGTGGGGGCAGGTGTAGCACTTCCTGCGGTTGCAGGGAGAAGTGCCGGGTGTGGTGGGGCTGGAGGGGAGTGTGGAGCGGACAAGGGAGTCACGGAGAGAGTAGTCCCTCTGGAAAGCAAATAAGGGTGGGGAGGGAAAAATGTCTTTGGTGGTGGGGTCGGATTGCAGATGGCGGAAGTGTTGGAGGATGATGCGTTGGATCCGGAGGTTGGTGGGGTGGTACGTGAGGACGAGGGGGCTTCTTTTTTGGTTGTTATTGCGGAGACGGGGTGTGAGGGATGAGTTGCGAGAAATGCGGGAGACACGGTGGAGGGCGTTCTCGACCACTGAGGGGCGGAAGTTGTGGTCCTTGAAAAACGAGGACATCTGAGATGTACGGGAGTGGAATGCCTCATCCTGGGAGCAGATGCGGCGGAGGCGAAGGAATTGGGAATAGGGGATGGCATTTTTGCAGGAAGGTGGGTGGGAGGAGGTGTATTCTAGGTAGCGGTGGGAGTCGGTGGGCTTGAAATGGATATTGGTTTCTAGGTGGTTGCCCGAGATGGAGACAGAGAGGTCCAGGAAGGAGAGAGAGGTATTAGAGATGGTCCAGGTGAACTTAAGGTTGGGGTGGAAGGTGTTGGTGAAGTGGATGAACTGTTCGAGCTCCTCGTGGGAGCACGAGGCAGCGCCGATACAGTCATCAATGTA